ACTTAAACAAAACTACCAACTTAATTATTAATTTATTTAACCAAACTTTCTTACTACGTGTATTTAGTTTTTTTTTTTTTTTTTTTTCCAGAATTTCACAATTCTTATATCCAAACTTAGACAAGAGTAGGTTGCTCTAGTGGTGAGCACCCTCCACTTCCAACCAAGAGGTTGTGAGTTAGAATCACCCCAAGAGCAATGTGGGGAGTTCTTGGAGGAGGGAGCCGAAGGTCTATCGGAAACAGCCTCTCTACCCAGGGTAGGGGTAAGGTCTGCGTATACACTACCCTCCCAAAACCTCACTGGTGGAATTATACTGGATTGTTGTTGCTGTTCGTTGGTTGTTATATCCAAAGTCCAAAGTCCAAACTTAAGAAAATTCATGTACTAAAGTCAAAAAGAGAAAGTTGTTGTATCTTTTTGCTGACACAATTAGAAGAAATTTCTGTCACACAGCAGCAATTGGGGAAAGAAACTTGAAAAAAAAGATGAATCAGCTTCCAAAAGTGCACATGCAAATTAGTAACAGATCTAATATCAGTCAAATGAAGTCCGCTACCTAACTTTTTGGATGAAATCTCCTAAAGAAAAAAAGTTCACATCACAGTCTTGTTTTTTTTGTCTGGTAATTATAATTCCGTTCAGCGGCGGAGGTAGAATTTTCGCTAAATGGGTTCAAAAAAGAGTCCCTTCGGGGATATCCGGAAAAAAAGAAATCAAAAAATCAAAAAGTTTAAAAAGTTGTATCTAATGGGATATAACCAATGACCTTACAAAGCCCCCTTGACCAGTAAGTTATGCTTTTGGGCTATATCAAGGGGATTCAAAACATAATATATAGAGATAAAAAATAGATTTTGTCAAAAAAATAATATAATTTTTCGGCGAAGAGGATTCGGGTGAACAGCCTTCCGCCTCCTAAATCCGCCCATGGCCCGATTTTATAATTTGGAGATTGATTTGCTTCAATTATCATTGATTTGGTAGATAAATAATCTAAGTTCACATTCAACTACTTTACATTGTTTTATTGGCTAGTGAAGTTGCAGATTTTTGGAGAAAGCTAAGCCATAAACTAAACTTCTGCAAGTTGCAGACAGTAAAGGAATTTTTACATTATTATCTCACTTAAAAATTAATTATAATTTAATCATCCATGTTAATAAATTAGTAATCTGAAAAATAAAATATATTGCCTGCTCAAACAATATTTAAGTATGTATAGGTGACAATTTTAGTCCAAACCATTTAACCCGTCCAATCCGTCCAAATTCCAATGTTGAATTCAATCCATCTTGACTTTGCCCATTGTTTGACCCAAAAGTTGTTTAATACTTTCTAAGCAAATCAACCAATGTAGATGAAGGGGTAGATCGTAGTCAACATTAATTGATATTGGATCGAAGAACATAATCATAAAGATAGAAGAATCAATTAAAACGACACCTGGAAGGTTTTTATTGATTATAGAAATTCGGCCTGCCTCTCCTTGAAGAGGTTCAGGAGATTACAATCAAATTCTTTCTTCCTCCTTGGAGGTGGAATCTCTTTCTCTAAGATTGTTTCTTCCCTCTCTTTCCTGGAGCCCTCTCTAAGGGGTTCTTCTTCCTTCTATTTATAGCCCAAAACTCCTCATGCTTATCATATTTTGTTCGGGCCGGGTCGGGGAGATGACCTCCCCTCATGGGGAGGCCTCAACCTCGACACTCATGTCATATATAGCAGCAATTAGGCGAAGTCGAATTCGTTGACTGCTGCTGCAGGGTGGTCGGGACGGGGTCCTTGCTGCTGTGGTCGTGTGGTCGGATTCTGACCAATACAGTTAGTCCCTCCGTTCGTCGGGGTCGTATCTTACCGACCTCGGCGGACACATAACGTTTGTGACGTAATCGTGGAGGGAGTCAGATCCGCGTGTTTTTCTTTGGTCGCGTTATAAATTTCGAAACTGCCCGGAGGCGTCTCTTTAATACTTCTTATGCCGTCACGATGGTTTCGAAATCGAAGAGCCGGTTGATAAACGAAATGTAGCTTTGTATCGGTGGTCACAGCGGTGCACGTTCCCAAGGAGCTGAATCGTTTCATGCCCGGTCAGGTTCTGGCGGCGACCGTTGGTTTTTGCGCCCCGGAGAATTTGTGTCTTATAAATTGAAGGGATTTGTCACTCGTTTCTCACACTTTATTGCTTATCTTCGAGAGAATTCCCAAAATATCTCCCTTTCTATTAGTCTGAGTTCTTCTTGGCTCCTTTGCTCGCGGCAATCTTGAGCTTTTCTCGCTTCTTCCTCAAAGTTCCTCCCTCCTCTTTTTGTGAGTTAAAAATGATAGGAACTTCTTCTTACGGTAGACTTCCGGCTATCTCTCCGGCGGCCGGGGACCCTGCTCCGGTAGACGGAGACGTAGACCCGATGGAGTGCGAAGATGTTCCTTCGATCGAGGAAATTTTATCCCGCCCGGGGAAGGCAGTGGTGGATTTCAGCGCCGATGGTGGTGCGGAGCAAGTAAATATTCCTCCTCTTATAGGGGATATCGGAATAGCAGATTTAAGGGCACGATGGGGTATTACTGGTTATGTCGAGATGGTGCCGGCGAAGAGAGAAGATAGGGTCCAGATCGACCGTCCCGGGTTCTGCTCATTCTATGCTTACCCCTTCCTAGTGGGGTACACACTTCCGCTTCCAATGTTGGTGGTCGACTTCTGCCGCTATTATGAGGTGTGTCCTGCCCAACTCTCTCCTTACCTGTACAAGCTGTTCCTCATGTTTATCAAGTACGCGGAGCTAGCCGGTCGGGAAGTCACTTTGAGACACGTGCTCAGCCTGTTCGCTCCCCAAAAGATTCGCGGCACTATGATCCATGCGCGTCCCCGAGGGTCGAAAGGTTTAGTGGTCAAGATGGACGACAGGACCAATCGCCATTTTTTCGATAACTTTTTCTATGTGCGGACCGAGCATCTTGTAGCGGATCCGACTGGGTTTCCAGAAGTGTGGAATTTTGCCCGTAAGTCTTCATCCTTGACTAGTAGACTACCCACTTTGGCCTCGTTTTCTTTATATCTCATGTAAATATTGATCTATTTCGATGCTTTGCAGCCGAGAAGTTACCCCCGCCTCCTCTGGAGGGGATCCGAGAATGGGTCGAGGCCATTCTTCCTCATACGGCGGGAGTTCGCACATGGTCGACGTTTCATCTGAGATTCGGACGTAGGCCCCTCACAGGTGAGATAGCGCCCTTATTTTTTACCCGTTCTCTTTCGTTTCGATCTTACCTTTCGAGTATTGTTTGCCGTGGCCAGGGAGGGTTCGCAGAGTCAGGGCTCCTCAGTTAGCCTTCCGTCGGCCGTCCGCGTCCGCTCGTATCAGTGCGGTACCTACAGCTCGTCCGTCGAGGGAGGCGTCGG